AATATGATCCCTAATTCATGCAAAAAATATGAATCGCCTACGTTGTAACAGTTGTGCTATTCTGTGGGAAAGGAACGTTAGTCTAAAAATATGATGACGTAACCGTAGGTCTATTCGTTATCGTTTTCGTAGGCTTGCGAAAACTCCTAACTTCTGTAGGTTACATAGGCCTACAGTTACATTGTCTGTGTTAAATGTTTACAACCCTCTCATTCAAAACATTACATTGATAAGATAATAGCTTCTACTGAGAGAGATCGGAATAAATCAGTTGTAATTGTCTTATTCATGCGTCTGTGAGAGAATTAACCGTTGTAATGTTCAATTTTTAAGGTAGATAAAATAAAGATAAATCTTCTGCCGAAAAAAAAAATCGCAAAATACTTTTAAAATAAATTATATCCTTAAATAGCTCATAAAAAATCAAATAAGTTGTTAATTCCAAGCAGAGGTCACAAAAAAATATTTTTCATAAATTTAAATACGTTTTTCTACACAAGTTGATTACCAACCAATTTAAGGGTAAAATAAAGTTAATCCGTTTCAGAGGCCTACCACCCCCTTCACGTCCAGCTAGGCGTGCGGAACTTCAATACAGCCTTGCATAGTTCAGGTTTACCAGAAGCGAGGTTCATTCGGTAAGGAAATCTAACTGTTAGTTTTGTAAATAAATAATGTGAAAACCTGAGGAACACACAATTACATAAGTAATCGGAGTGTCTCTCCTGTTTCATGGAAAAGCACTATCTCAAAGTCTTCTTTCAAACAAAACAACTATTTTGGCAAAACCATGATATTGATTTTATTCGAATGCACTTTTATATATTTGTATTTGTACATATATAAATTATTTATACTTAAAATATAGCTACAGTATTTGTACATAAAGTATATGTAATAATATGTGTAAAAACCGGTAAATATGATTTATTCTGTCAGACTAAGAGTGTAAGTACAGTATATTTAAACACTTTAAAAAAAATTATTATTATTATCTACCATGTGTTTGATGATGCTATTGATTTCAATTGCTATACGTACAACACGAATGTCAGTGTGTTTTGACGTGTAACAGACTGACAGACATTGGATCTTATTAGTATAAAATAGATAGAAGAAGATTTAGATAATATTGTAAAGTTTTGTACAGGCAAAACTAACAGAGGGCGACAGACTGATATTTTCTCTTATCAGCTTATCGCACGCTTAATTATCGAAGACTCGCAAGGCAAATGTTATAGAGGGCGGCAGACAGATATTTTAACTTATCAGCTTTAGTTATCGTGACGATCACACATTTCGCGAAGCATCTTAAATCATTTTCATATTGACCAAACATAAATAAAGGTAATAGAATTATCACATATATCAAATCAATTACTGACCGATTTTATAATTTCAATATGATATTTTATGGCGATATTTTATGGAAGACTATTGCGGTTCCAACGTTAAATTATGCTTGTTCTGTTTGGGTTAATATAGGCAAAGCAGGAAAGATATTGATAAACTTGAATCGCTCCCGTTGAAGGTGGCTCGGTTAATCCTAAACGCTAATAGAAACACGTCAAAGGAGGCTTTATATAGGGATTTAGGGTGGGTTCCAATTAAGGTAAATACGGACAGGATATATCAAAAGCATTTCTTTTTTTACATGTTATAATGTAATGGGATTGGATGAACACCGATGGTCGAATTCTATCATGTCGAAGTTTATTTAACTGTACTGAGCCTCGCTACAAATTAATTCACATTTTTATCAAGACCTGCAAGTGCATTAGTTTTGACATGATTCAATTTTCGATACTTCCTGCCTTGGAAATGCTCCAAATAATGCTCAATTTGTTAAATGTTTTAAAGGCCTTCTACATGATTCAAACATTGCTTTTTGGAAATGAAATGTAACTGAGAAAATCTTCTCTTCCAAGTTCTCTTGCATAAAGCATACTCCGTTTCTAGAAAACTACTACTATAACGTCAAACAGATTTTTTATGGTGCAAGTTTGAAATTCAAACTTCGATCAAGCACTCCAAAGGTAAAAAGTATGCTGGTAAGCCTACATGTAATTTGTGTAAAAATGGTTTGTAGGATACTCAAGTGACTTTTTATTTACCTGTAACAAACTTCACGCAATTATCTGAGAAATATAGCAATTTAGAAAACATGTTAGCATTGCCGATCATTCAAATATATGGGAAGACTTAATTTCTAGTGATTGAAACACGAAATTAAACTGTTTCAGGAGGAACTGACTATTATAATTTTCTATAACGATGTTGACACAATCTTATATCTTCGACAAATTTTGTAAAGCATTTATTTAAAAGGCATGGAAACCTTGAAATGAAATGTTAAATGAATGATTTATAATGTAAAGATTAAGCCTGGGTTGTTGATTTTTTGCCGATATTTTTGTGATATTTTTAGTATGCTTATTGTAAAATTATGTGATTTGGAAGGGATACACTTAATAAATTGTTCATCTGGAAAAAAATTGTTGAGTGGTTGGGTTCTGTGTGAATGGGAGTGTCACACGTGCTGGCGCAGCACGGGAAATGGCATGTACTAAGGGAAATGTTGGTTGAGCCATCGGAGCGTGTCCCTCCCTACTGAATCATATAATTTAGTTTTACTGTTTTCTTGAATGCTTGTTCGATTTTACCAATTTTCTGTTTCTATTGTTACTGTATTTTTAATTTGTATATTTCTGTAGTAGACTTAACTTTTTGACAGCTTTTTTGCTAATTATCTTGTTTTATGCCACTGATATAAAAGTGTATATCCAAATAAATTATTGTTATGACAATCAAACCAACCTAATGTCAATCAACTAAAAAAGTGGAAACGCTATAAATTAATGGTTTTCAAATTGATTTGTGACATTTATATATTTATTTAAAAAAAAACCCTAAATGAATATTTACATTAACTTTTTTTTAATACTTATCTACTTCTCATATTTTTAAATCTTAATTGTATTACTGTACGTAGTTTTTCATACCATTTCATAGCGTTTCATATAATTTCATATCATTGCATAATTATTATTTCATTTCATACTATTTCATATGATTTCATATCACTCCATACCATTTCATATAACTTCATATCATCTTATTTAATTTCATTGTATTTCACTACAGAGGAGCTTATCTTCACGAGTGGAGTTAGATTAGCGGTTAAGATGCTTGCCTTCTAATCCCATGGTCCTGGGTTCAACTTCTTTTCAGTGGCGGTGCCAGCGGGGGTGGGGAGGGGTGGCAGGGACTTCAGTCCCCCCATCGGCCAAAACTCGTCGGGCAGTCGGACCAAAAAAATAAATAAATAAATAAAAAAATAGGCCTAGTTTTTCCATCCCAGCAATTTCCGGCCATCTAGAAGTCCCAATTAAAAGAAAAAAACCTCGTTCTAGGAGGAGGAGACATCCCCCTCCCATACACCCCCAGATAATGCTGCGCACTATAGTTACACCCATAAATACTTAGCTCTCCCCGCCACATACATTATATCACTACTATTTCTTTCACAGCAGGACATTTTCTCACGACTTAAAACCATGGCCGGCAGAATGGGGGGAAGGGGGGTGGAGGAAGTGGCTAGTGTACTTACTGTCGCATGTGAAGGGGAAAAAAGCTGTATATATCGGTATATGCAATGAATGAATTTTTACATTTGTGGTTGACATGTTATGACATTTGAGGTAAAAAAGGACATTTTTACATTTGTATAGGTGAAAAGTTGTTACATTTGAAGTTAAACAGATTTTTACACTTGTGGGTGATTTTTTTTTTTTTTACAATCTACAAAATTGCCCATGTGCATGTTAAAGAACGCAGTACACTCTTCGGAAAAAAGAATAGGAAATTGTCTCCTGGCTTACTGCCCAATTTATCAACAGAAGGACCCCACTGGAAATAATTCTTAAGACTTTTTTTTCGTATCCTTGGTTAGAATCACACTGAAAAAATACAATCCATATACAAAAGTTCATTTTCTCAAAACAATAGATATTATTTTTTTTTGTCTTTAACATAACTTACTTAAATAAAAAAATTAGGTTATTCAATGGTAAATCATTGTATTGTTCCAAATTGTTAGCACACTACAGAAAATATCATATCATATATATTAAAACGACATAAATGGCATGTACTAAGGGAAATGTTGGTTGAGCCATCGGAGCGTGTCCCTCCCTACTGAATCATATAATTTAGTTTTACTGTTTTCTTGAATGCTTGTTCGATTTTACCCATTTTCTGTTTCTATTGTTACTGTATTTTTAATTTGTATATTTCTGTAGTAGACTTAACTTTTTGACAGATTTTTTGCTAATTATCTTGTTATGCCACTGATATAAAAGTGTATATCCGAATAAATTATTGTTATAACAATCAAATCTAACCTTTTGTCAATCAATTTAATTAAAATCAACTAACTAAAAAAGTGGAAACGCTATAAATTAATGGTTTTCAAATTGATTTGTGACATTTATTTATTTTTTTTTTAAAAACTTAAATGTATTTTTACATTAACTTTTTTTTAAATACTGTATTTATCATCTATTTCTCATATTTTTTAATCTTACATTGTATTATGTTGTTTTTCATACCATTTCATATCATTGCATAATTATTTCATTTCATACCACTTCATATGATTTCATATCATTCCATACCATTTCATATGACTTCATATCATCTTATTTAATTTCATTGTATTTCACTACAGAGGAGCTTTTCTTCACAAGTGGAGTTAGATTAGTGGTCAAGATACTTGCCTTCTAATCCCAGGGTCATGGGTTCTGTTCCTGCAGCAGGACTTTTCCTCACAACAACAAAAAATTCCATTCTATAAGCCTCCTAAAGACTCTTGGTTTATAAAGCCAGTCTCACACGTTGTGATTTTCCTTATGATAAGCTGCGCTACAACACTTTTTCGACTACAATTTTTTGAACACGTATAAAATTCTACGATATCATACGCTTTCCTAATGAGCATGTTTCCCCAGAAATAAATATGGTTTATCTTATGTTACTGAACTTGTCGGAGGAAAAAACATGTCGACAGCAATTAAGATTGCTTTTTGTTTATCCTGCCACCGACAAGGGTATTGTCTTGTGTTTTTTGTCCTTTTGTATTGTAGTTTAAATTGGTGAAATAAATGGATTGAAAAAAAAAATTACCAATCAATTATCCTGTTATGTGTACCACTAGATATAAATAATATGTAATACAGAAATGTAAGACAATGATCATTATATACACAAGCTGATCGTTGGTGGCACTATTATTAAACGTTTAATATACATAATTACTGGTGGCGGTTGGTAATGTTAGTAACTTATAAAATACATGATCATTGTGTACAGAATAAATAGCATTCAGATTTTAACAGATACTTTGTACACTGAATATTTCACAAACATTTCTCAAAACTGTTAAATTGATGGGAATATTAATAGGCCATAATAATACGTCATGATAAAAATGTATGCATGTTCTATTATGACATTAGTTATTTCACATTGAATAGTTTCTTGAATAAAAAAAAATAACATTCACACAAAACATTTGTTAGTAATTTTGTAATTTTTGAGTTACTTTACATTTATATTTTTCCTAATTCATTAAGGATCTCACCACTAGCAGGCCAGGATACTATACTAGTACTTTGTGTTATACAATCTTGATACTTTAAAAAATGCAAAATACAGAGAACATGATAAAATAAAATGAAATGAAAAAAATAAATAAATAAATAAAAAAAAATAAAAAAAAGTTTATATATGTTTAAGTCACTTTTTGGATTATTCGAGAATTTACTGGCCTGGTCTTATATTTTGACCTTTCAGTCAAGGTCAATAGTTCAAATTCTGTAAAAATATATTTTTGTTTGTTTCTTCACAATTGAAAACATTCCACTTCATTACCCTTATAATAAAAGACATACTTTACTCAATGGCATGTAGGGAGGTGGACCTCCAAAAAGTCTCATTTCCCCCCACCCCCAGTTCCTCCCACCACAGGAAATATTCAAAATCAAATTAATCAACTTATGTATTGCTTATTAACTTTTTACTTCAATTTACATTTAAAATACAACCAGCGGATTTGAGGTGGGATAGAAATTTTAATGATCAATTCTGCCAAATCATTCTAACTGCTCTCCTTCAAATTATATATTAGTTTCATCAATTTCACCTTAACATTGCTTATGTTCATTTCAAATTTACACACAGTACCAGAATATCCTGAGAATTAATACACAAGTTTAACAAGTATTAGCCTCAAATTCATGTTTACATACAAAATTAATAGTGTGTGTAGCATACAGTATCAGCTTTGTGTCTGTTAGATGCAACTACAGCTATCATACTGTTGTATTCCCATATATAGCCATGATGTGGCTATATATGGTCATGATGTAATCTCATCATGACCATATTTAGGCACAACTGGACTGGGCTTGACAATGTTTAATCAGACATGAAAACACACATGATTAAACCCACTGTGTAGTGTGAAGTGGGTTATATGCTACAAAAATGTTTGTCAAACTCCACAATGTTTGATATAAACTTTGATAGTATACACTAATTCACACATACACAGTACCAGTCCCTCACAAGGTTACTTTAACGCTAGTAATACATTATCAGATATCTGTTAGTTGTTGTCTGACAGTGGGTGTTGGACAATGTGTCTGACGCCCAATATGTCAAACAATATGTAATGTAAAGTAGTTGGATTCATACGCTTGTATCAGATATTTGATCAAACAAATGTATAATTAAGTCTGTTGGAATTTAGAAAACTCTCAACTTAATCAACGTTTACACGTCTGACAATTATCCGGAATAGTATTATTCGTCAAAGATCTTATAATAACAATATAACAAATAGTAACATCGCCTTACAGTAAAACATACTTGTTGTTGATTGTGAGCGTCCCCATTGTTACAGAATTTGCATAAGGAAATTGAAGAGTGCGCTATCTTGTTATTATAAAATCTTTGGTAGTGTGTTAAAACATTTTACGCTGACACAAACAAAAATGAAAGCACTGGTATTATCATGTATAGAAATAATCTCATTTAAAATAAGTTACTATAGAAGTAGAAACTGAGCGATGAAGTTGGCAAGACCAATGGACATAATGACAACATGTACACCTACGATGTACCACTTCAAACTCTTCATTTCTTGTAATCGCAGTAGGTAAACTAGAGATGGTAAAGTAAATACATATGCAAGGCCGCAGAATGATCCTGAAAATCTGAAATTAGTAGAAATATATTAGCATTAATAATAATATTGATGATCCACGTCTCTTTCTATTATACTAAAATTAATATTGTGTAATTTAGTTGTCACAGGCAATTTGTATGTTTATGTATTTTACTATACTATGTGCAATTTTCATGGAACACTGCCCTTGGGGTTGGTAATTTAACATTCCATGCTAGCACAAAATGTTAAAAACTTCACTCTAGTGTTGCATATTGTTACAAAATATGAAATTGATTTAAGATACAAAAAGAAATTTCTCTTTAATATTACCTGATAATTGTTCCTATACTTGGAAAGAAAACAGCAAATAAAATTGCTATAGACACCAGGATTAAATTTAATACTGCAACATGTTTAAAACTGAAAAGAAAGAAAGATAGCATATAGTTTAAATGACTAGTTTTAAATAATTCCATTTTGTCTCTGCTACACATTTTTAAAAATACATATATATTCAGATACCTTATTTATATGAATAAATGCCCTGGGGTGCTTATTGTTGAGAAGGGGTTTTTGAAAGGGGGGAGGGGGGTTTCAAGGGAGGCCTTTATTTTTTTTAAATGTAAAATGGATATGTATATACTCAAATAAACGCCCCTTAATTTCACTGTAAAAGTTGAACTACAACATATAATTACTGCCAGAATTTGTTGTTGCATAATCATATAGACTTATTGATCCCAACCAGGTTAGAAAAAGTTAGAGCATTAATAGGATGTGTTTAGAATGATGTTGCTTCCATTAGATTTGTTTACAGTCTTTTGGGGGGTGGGGCGCATCTATTCGAGGAAAATATAAACACCTTGGGCCATTTATCGATGGTGTTTATTCCAAAAAAGTCTCTAGATGGGGCATTTATTCAAGGGGGACTTTTATTCAAATAAATACGGTATTTAGGTATTCATAGGTATCTGGACTTAATTTTATTTGTACATGAAATGATCACTTGGCATTTCCTTCAATTGTTCATACTACTCAAGCTGGTATATCCCCTGTTGATTTCCATTTCTGGATCCAACACCAAGCTTTCTAATGTACTAACGCTACCCCCTCTAACTCACCTTGGGTATATCTCACCAAAGAACTGATGCATGACCTGAACCCTCATGATGTACATTAACAGGGGGAATAACGAAACCATTTGAAAGAACAGAAATAATCTTGCTGCAAATGCAAGAATGTCCTTGTGTGGAAAATTCTTCAACAGATTCTGTAAAGAAAAAATAAAAAACAATAAGAAAATGAATATACATAGGAATTTATGAATGACATGTGATGGGATGTAAAGGTATGGGGAAGGTGGAGGAAGGTAGGAAATAATCCATCATTTGCAACATCATTCTAGAGAACTGCCTACAGGCAAGTTTAGTGATAGAGATGCACTGGGTTATTTAAAGGCAGACCCAGACAGTGTTGTGTGATTTAGCCCGGTGAAATTTGTAGCATCGGGTCTGTGTGAGTTAAACACAGATGTGACAGTTCGTAGAAAATTAAACATGTTTAATATTCTCCGGACAACCCAAAGCCTATCCCCAACGATAAGTCGTGTTGGCCTGTGTTGTACGACACTTTAGTTAATAACAATAAAAATAATAATAAAAACAATAACAATTAATATAATAAAAATAAATAGAATAATAATAATTTGAATAATAGTGAATAGGCATAATTGATACAAAGCATTGTACAGACCTCAGAAATCTTTTGCTTTAAAGTTTAATTACCAGTCAAAAATATTTGTGTTCAAAACTTACATCTTGTATACAATCCTTTGAACTTGGAAAAGTTACGTAGAATACAACGCCAACAAATGTGTACGTAACTGCTACCAAAAAATATGCTATTGTTAAGTCTCTTTTCTGTACAAATGTAGAAAAAAAAATATATTAATTTTCGTATTTTATTTATAATTTTATTATACGTAGTATGTATTCTGTCTCTTATACACATCTAGATGTGTATAAGAGACAGTTACTATACTATGTGCAATTTTCATGGAACACTGCCCTTGGGGTTGGTAATTTAACATTCCATGCTAGCACAAAATGTTAAAAACTACAGCGAGGGATTGAAACCCCAACCTCAAGGTTGGAACACCAAACTGTTCGTGCTGCGCCAAACCACTTGCACATTTATATGTATGGTAATTTATACGTATGTATGAATTTATATTGCAGTTAAATAAAAAATTATGTCAAATTGTGGGGTACAGTTTTATTACTCTTGTAGTTGTAGTAGCTGTACTTGCTGGCGGTGGTGGCGTTAATGGTAGTATAGTAGTAATAGTGGTAGTGGCAGTGACGTTCCAGTAGAAGCCACCGACTTGAATTCAACATTTTAGAGATGGGTTATAACACAATTCCAACAATACTAATCTGTGGTTAAAATGCTAGATAGGACTGGCCTAGACCGCACAGATAGGTCCAACATTGGGCCTTGACCTGATAGGCCTAGCAGCATTCTTAAGTTAATGTAAGTGAAATATATTCATATTTTGTACATTACTAATTCTTATCTGCAGAGGTGTTAGCAATAGTAGTAATAGTTTACAATAAAATATTAATCCCTCTCAAGACTATCACATTTTATTTGACAAAAACATGCGATATGCCTAAATATGGCCGTGATGACATCACATCACGACCACATATAGGCACATCATTACTATATTATGAGCGTGCAACAGTTTTTTGTCAAAGAAAATTTGGTACGTGTGGACAAAGAATTACGCAATGAACACATACAACACATACGTGAAAAAGAAGATAAATAAAGCCAGGCTCTCATTGCGGTCGTACGACAGTCGCACAACGAATCCAATTCCACTCTCTGTGAGTGAAAGACGACGCGACGCTGGCTGCTGATTGTCGGTGGCAGTCTGAACTGATCGTCATTAAAAATGATCCGTTGCGTGTGTGTCGCCGCGTTGCGTTCTTTATGGAGTCTCGTCGGCCGACGACCGTCGTGCGAGGCGAGTGCCTGGCTTAAGGAAACATGCTTGACTTGGTTTTTACTCACATTATTCTCAGGATGCCTTTGGTTTCTCATTATAGATGAAACACAGTTGTGAATAAAATAACCAAGTGATAGAATCCCAGAGAGGGCAGGAAATGTTGGCTGGAATACTACATAAAAACAGACACTTTTTACATACACAAATATATACATACCGTACATACCCCACAATTTAGCATTTCAGAGTTTATATTATCTATCAGGGGTGGCGCTAGAATTTGCCCGATGGAGTCCCCGACATGGGGGAGGGGGCAGGGGGCGATTCCCCGACGAGGGGTAACATTTACCAGACAAAAGCAAAGTGGGCGTGGTCGAGCTTTGAGCCTGGCTTCCCCCTGGCGCAAGCCCTGCTATCTATGAAATTTGTACACCAATGCTGGTTTTTAGCCTGCCCTTAACGGTTGTATATATGGAATAACTACCAGTAAACAAAACAAGGGTCTATAGTAATGGTTTGCTGTAGATAGCTAAAGCTACTCTCCAATGTTGCCTAATGCCAACTAGTAAAAAATGTAACAAGTAAAAAGAAGGCTGAGACAAGTAAGTACAAACTTTTTTTTCAAACTTTTTTTTATACTTTTGTTCATGGCCCTGTTGCCCAATGATAATGATAACTCAAACAAAAAAATAACCAACTTTATTTTTGACCAGTGCACCCACCACCATGAAAAAATGGAAATTTCAGAGAAAAAGTAATTTTTTAAATTTATTTTTTCTATTACGCCTGTTGCTGCTTTGATATCTCTCAAAAATAAGATATCTATATTTCCTTAATTATATAAATTTAAAGCATCTATCAATGCCAATAAATACAATGTTCACACAAATCAATAATTTTTTATTTTTATTTTCTCATTTGCCTGAAATTTGGCTAATTAAGAAACAAATACTTATTTTTATTTTGATCTCACCCTCCTCTGATAATTTTTAAAAACATAAGTTTGCTAAACAGATATAAAAAGGACTTGCCTAAAACATGTAAGAATGGAAAAGAAATCACTTCAATCTTGAAGTCAATTTGACTATGACCAAACAACAAATAGAAAATACAACTAAAAGCAACAGGTAACAACATTTTAAGAAACCAACTAGATAAAAAAAAAATGTTTTTCATATAAAGTTAAAAGTGTGAAGAAAGATGAATTGACAAAACAGTGCAAAGGAATTAGTTCTCCAACAGAAGCAAGAATCGTGCACATGCTGAAGCAGACAACGGATACACACTACGCCTTACGTTGTTTTCCGGGCGAACTTGATGCCTCATAATGGCTGTGACTGCATTGTGGATGAAATAGCCAAGAGCGAGTATCCCAGAAAAAGCGGGGAAATTCCACTGGAAAACTTTTGTTTGAATTTGATAAAAAGCAGACAGAATCACTATCAATGGGGTACAACCTCATTAAAAAAAAGTTGTTTTTTTTTTTTTCAAATAATAAAACTTAAAACTGTGAATGAATCAATGATTAAAAAATAAGATATAAAGGTAAAGTAGTATTTGGAGCTTTGAGCTAAGCCTTCTTACTTCCCTTTAACAGTTGGGACGACTATGCAACGCTAAAAGAAGGGATGGGGTTCGTTACTCCTAATGCACAAGAAGTCTCTCAGGGTTTTAGCTATAGAAAACTAAGGATGGGTGGTAGACGTTTTAAGGGTAGGTGACTAGTAAATTGGAAAAATGAAATAATAAGAATATATTTTAACGATGGAAAAGGGGGTTAAGGTGGGTTCGGGCCATGAAATTAGCTTTATACTAGGTGAAAAATTTAAAGGCTATATATAAAACACGCTTGGATGGAGATTCAAACATAGTATTAATAATTTAATATAAAGATCATATTAGCTAAGGTAATGCCGTTTACTTTTGTTAAAAGAAGACATATGCATTTAGTTAATAATAGCTTGATTTTTAACTAAAAGAAAACTAAGGTTCAACATAAAAAAAAATAAACATTTGTATGTTACTTACTTAAAGAATAGCTTTGTCTATTCACCTATAAAAAGTTTTACTGTAATCTGTGTATAATTGAAGAAAAGCATAGAAACATAATTGTGGGATAACATTCATCAAGTGATTAGATTTTAACTTACATTTTACGTCGTATTCTTCACCAAAGTGTACACCCCAGCATGCTGCCTTTACGATTACAAATACAAACACAAATACAACAGACATTGTCCCTTAAAAAATAAAAAAGAAAGCATAAGTAACAATAAAGAAAGCGAAACATACTTTTCCACATTCTTTTCTCGACCCAAGAATACTTCGGTTTGGGTGCTGGCATGGTATTCAAATTTCACTTCTTTTTATTTTGTGGTTTTGGTTTCCGTTCCATCTTCACACTTGCCTGATAGCGCTTAGAGACTTTTTGTATTTTGCGCTCTATAAATTAATAACCATTAACCATTAAAAAATATTCCCACAAAGCGCAATGTATGTGTTATACAGTTGTTTGAAATAATTAGTTGCGACAAATGAGTTGCTATACATCGAGTCAATTTTGTATAATCAAGACAAATTTTACGAAGCCACATTTTAACAAAACTCCTTGAGCATTATTTGTTGAAAAGAGTTTTTGAGGGGGAATTTATTTGAGGGCTGTTTATTTGAGAAAGGTGTTTTTTTGTTTTTGTTTTTTTTTTTTTGGTGTAAAATGGATACATACATACCGGTTTGAGAAAATGTAATTCTATTTGAGTAAAATATTAACAGAATGTGGTGAGAATAATGTTGCTTCCATCAGAATTGTTTACAGTCATTTGCGTGGGGGGGGGGGGGGTGGAGCGGTTATTCGAGGGAGGTATTTATTCCAAATGAGGCTTTAGAGGCAGTGTTTATTCGAGGGTGGGCGTCAATTCACAGAGGGGCATTTATTACATTGATTAAACATGATTTTGAGGCACATTTTGTTAAGCTGTTGTTCAGAATTTATAGGAAAACTAACAAGAAATTGACAAGTTGTTTATCTTTAGAGTCAATTTTCAGTATGTTTCCAGACATCTAAATTTCAAAATGACCTCACACTGATTCAAATAAACGCAAGAGCTCTATTTAATTAAGCTTATAATAATAATCTAAATATATTAACATCTCATGTTTTATCCT